TTTCAATTTAAATAATAAAAGAAATCATTACTATAAACAATTAATTATTATTTATTGTTGATAAATAGGAGAATTGTATGATGCATATCTTAATCGAAAAATTGACCATAAAGTAAGAATTAGAATGGTTATGCGTGCATTTTTTTTTCTTAAAATATAGAAAAATTACATTCAACGTTGTAGTACAATTCATTCATCAAAATGGTATAATATGCAATGTAGTATTATATCCACTCAAAGCTTTGAGATTTTTATTAGTATGGCAGAATCTTTGGTAATGCTTATTATGGTTTATAGAGAATATTATCCTAATTATCCTTTATTCTTATGGGAATATGGAACTGAGGCTCTTGAACATATTTTTAGTATATCACGTCAAGTAATAGCTGATTTTAACTTTATGAATTCTATAAAATCCAAAAACGTGTTATGTATCAAGATAAAATTATACGCGCTGGACTAATTAATACATCAAGGGATCGTATATCAGCTGGAGGTAAGAATTTTATTATATTAATTAAAATATAACTTAATAAAATTAAAGTTTACAAATTTAAATATTTTTTAGGTTATGTATTTGATATTGATGGTACTTCTCTTCCTCATGAAACTATTGAATGTTTACGAACTTGGCCATCAGAAGATGATATTAAAGAAGCAATTCGCATTGGATATAGTGAAGCAATATCATTTGCGAAATATCTTCAAATTAATGATCAAACTGCACCTTCAATGCAACAACTTATTCATCGTGTTGAACATTCTTTAGATGATTTATGTAATTTGGAAATAAATTATGATAAAGAAGATCAATATCAAAATTTAGTTAGTAAAAAAAGTTTTTTTTTTAATTTGTTAAATACTTCTATATTTTTAAATATTTATTTTATTTTAGATCAAATTGAGTTACAAATAGAAGTTGAAAATATTGGGACTGCTGCATTTGAAGTTTCTCGACTCTTATTAGATAAATCAAATGAATTAGATAAATTTATAGATGAAAATAAAAATACAAACATTCCGTTGGCAACTTTTCCTAATTTGCGTTATATTATTAATCAGAAACCAATTTCTCAAAAGCAATTTGAAGAAGTAGATTCACTTTTTACACTTGAAGGATTTTTACATTCTAAAGTATTAATTGATATTTGAAAAAATCATGATGCCTTTTCACGACATTCAAATAATACCTCAAATAAGCAATCACTATCCAAAACATCTGAAATAACCAATTCATTTAATCTTAATAGTGCTAATAGATTGATTACCGAATTGACAAATAACTTTGATGTTTAAGAAAATTGTGTAAATCAGCAAAAAAATCGTTGAGAAGGACGTAAAAGACTTGCAACTATTCTAATAGCTGTTGGGATTAATGGTAATTTAATAATATAAATTTAAGTAATTTTATATTTTATAAATAAAATCTAACTTATCTTTATTATCTTTTTTTAAGTATATAATATTATTGATGCAAATGTGTCTGATTTTCATCTTCTAATTTCAGGTGAATATTTAATCATTTATTCAGACAAAAAACTTTGTATTGCTCAAATTATCTCAATGTATGAAAAACGAGGTCAACGACATTCTTGGGTAGTAAAAGCAAATTTTTTGGATCACTTATCATATCTTTCGGTTAATATTTATTTGAATATTTACAATAATCTTTGGACAAATGCATGTGAGGCAGGAGGAAAACTAATTGGTCACATTTCGGCTAAAGAAGTTTTATATTATTTTAATTCTTCTCCTTTTAATTCCCAAGATTCTTTTTTTACTCTGACAAAAAAAAGTTTGGAGATTTTTCAGCATTTTAAAACACCAGAAATGAAATTGGATCTTACAAGAATTTTTCCAAACTAATATCGTTTTATTTTTTGATATGAAATTCATATTTTTTCTAATCTTTAATAATGTAATAAAAACTACATAGTACTAATGAAAATTCTAATAAAAATTAGTAAAACATCTTACCATAATTTTATGATTCGAATATCTTTAAATCATTTATACTTACCGCCATTTTGGTTTGCATAATTAGTAAAATCATGTGGTTCGAGATCATATGATTTTCCTAAATTTTGATGGTGACCTCTATTAGAAGTTTTTCTGGTCCTGGAATAATCCCTAACCCATCACTATTTATAATATTAAAATACGAAATAAACATAAAATTGATAAAATAAAAATATGATACAATATTATTATCAATCCATTTGAATGTCCTTGATCCCATCAGTTTCGTCGGCAAGTTTATATTTAGCATCCTGATTTTCCTTGCTTCATGCCAATAAATTGCCTTATCTAAATCTTCAATCCCACCCCACTTTTCGTACATTACAACAAGATTATATTGAGCATTGTTCGACAGACTTTTTATACCATCCCCATTCATTTGAGCGAGTTTGTATTGAGTTTGGTGATATTCTTCATCGGATTTTCTGTACCAATCACCTCCGTTTCTAAACATACGAATAAGGCTATATTGCCCTGTTCGGTGGTTTTTATACCAATAAATTGCTCTATATATATCTTTATCAACATCGTTTATAATGACAAACTATATCGATATTTTCTATGTAGATTCTATATACCAATGAATTGCTTTTTTATCTACACCTTTATCAATTCCATATCCTTTCTTATATATATAATGGCGAGATTAACTTGATTCCTAAATTTGACCGCCTTTTGATATAATTCAAATGCTTTTTGCTTATTGACGCTAGTCCCAACCTCTTTTATAAACAATGTCCTAACGTTGATAAACCATTCGAATATTTTCCTTCGACCGATTGCCCTAATAACTCTCATCAATTCTCTTGACATCTTCGCCATTTAAATAAAAGTTCCCAAGGATGCTTGGCGGCCTTACAGTTCGCCATTCTTATATCCTTTCAATACCCGATCGCTTCTTGATAAAAATGACCGAGTTCCGGTTGACCCGCCACAAATCATCAATAGCGATGGTTTTAATATATTTAAAGCCAGATTTTCGTCTTACATCGCGCCATCTCCAAATCGATAACGTAATATTGCGATAATAATCATTTGATGGATCTGTTCCTGAGAATAATGATTTTAATCCATTGATTACTTGTTTCATATTATCTAGTTCGTTATCCAACACTCTAGAAATCATAACTTTTTAATAATCAAATATGTATAGATAAATAGATTCAAAGAATGAATACCAGTATAAATTTTTAGATACATGTATCAGGAATGATAATTTCTCTTAAGATAATGTTCACCCTCAATCAGCGATGTACATTTTCTATGTCCAAGCATTTTGAGAATGTCCCACACCATGTCCAAAACTGTTCCACATTAAGTCCCTATGTCCCAGATCATGTCCCAACAATGTCTCATGACAATAGTAAAAAGGAGGACTACCACTTGATATCTCCCAACGCAATAGCGTTAACGCCAAGACTATTACTTCGTTTTAATGTTCTTGGATCAATATAAGGTGATCATACCACGTCAAGGTGGATTGGATGCTTCGTCAATTCTTTGGATAATCCAAAGTCGGCCAACTTGATGCTATTTTGATGAATCAAGACATTTTTGATCATTAAAATAAATAATAATAAGTTAAATGGTATTATTATACATTTATTTATCTCTTATGACAAGTTTAATAATTACCAAATCGCAATGCATAGTCCTTCATCGTGTAAATACAACGCAGCGTGAGCCATTTGAAATGCCAAGTTGAATTTATCGTTCCAAGCTTACTGAAATTTCTCTTAAAATAGCTTCGAAGAGTACCATTATCAGCATATTGCAATATCAATAAATAATTTCATTGATTTTCTAAAAAAAAAAAAAAAAAAAAAAAAAAAAAATGAAAAAATTTAACACGGTTTATCTCATGATTGACGTTGCATGACATAAACTTTATTTAAAGAGGATCTAAAATTAGTTAATCAAAATTATTTAAAGCAGCATTGATGCCACTGCCCATTATAATTATAATTGAGCCCAAAATGTTCATGTATTACATTTAGATTAACAAGTAAGTAAAATATATTACCATTACCTTGATTAGAATTCGTGATACAAATAAGAACGTATTTAAAAAAATTAATCAAAAAGAAATCGCTTATAATTATATAAATGTTAGATTTAAATGCTTATAAATCATTAACGTATAGGTAGCGTTCTATATGGTCACCTCTTATATAGTCACATTATAATCACTATCACATTAATAAAATCTGATATTTATCACGTGATATTGTTATTCTTGATTCCCAATATTATTAGCTACCTTATACTGTAGTTATTCAACTTGAAGTACCGGATAAGTAATTTATCCGGTGTCCCGTGATTAAGCTATTGTTTACTATATTTTACAGATTTATGCCTACAAAACTTTCTTGAGACAGGTATACATATCACAAGCGTAGCATATAATAGCGCCCTTATTTGTTTTTTCCATTAGGATGTTTAAAGGTTTCTGATAAGTTTATGCCATTCTATAGTTCTAACAGGACGTGATACAGCAATTTAATCAATATTTGACGCTGGAAATGAAGAAGTTGAAGCAATGGCAATTTCAGGTCACAGTTCATCAGCCGGAATGCGTAACTATCTTAAAATAACAAAGAAAATTCTTAATTCAGTTATACAAAGGTTAACTGGAACTGTAGAATTTGATATTATTAATAAAGATGATGCATTACAAGGCAGAGTATTTTTTACATATTATATTTGAATTTTATATCGAAAATTTTATAGTCATCCAATGGTTTTACTAAGGCTTCGCAACTATTAAATTAAAAAAATTAAAAGCCATTGCAAGAAATTTCATCTTCCGAATTAAATACAAATAACTTATTATACAAATTGTTCTATATATAATACAAATAATGCTTGATAAAAGTTATTAATGACTGATAATTATTTTTTTTACCTGAAATGATTTTTTTGCCTGATAAGCGATTTATTATAGTCATTATTAATTATAAAAAAATCACGTGATACTGAGTAATTAAATATAATGAAAATGATGTTTTGTTATAACATTTTAACTGTCATTAAACTAGAATAGAACAGCTATTAGGATAGACAAAATCCGAGAGTATTATATGTCAAGTAATCCTTAATAAAATAAAAAAAATCGGCTTCTTAGCATGTAGATTTTCTCATGAAAAATAAACATTTTTTTGTCCACCCAAAATTGCGAAACTGCGCTTTTCCGAACGCTATTGAGCATTTTCCGTTAAGATTGAGGTTATAAATTTTTGATCTAATATTATAATAATATTGCAAAAAACTAAAGTTATATATGAACGCGCTGAACAAAAATACTATGATGTGAATTTTAAATGTCGGAATAAAAGTATTACACCTCGTAATACTACGAAGTATTACGGGGGCGTAGATCAAAACACTACCTGATATTAATACTGCTTACTGACGAAAAGTTATTAGAGAGAACCGAGAAAATGTAGCGAAAAATTATGTACATAACATTTTCACTTGATGAACCCGCCAAAACTTGTACTACGTTCCTTAACCGTAATAAGCATTAGACGAATCGAAAATACTTTTAAAAGTGTACAAGCATTTAATTTATTCAAATTTACACGTTATTTTATACATTTTATAAATACATTTTAAATATACATATAAATAATTAAAAAAATAAATTAAAACATTTGAAAGATAATTGATCTCCTCCTATTATTTTGTTTTTCAATTGCACTTTGATATCCTTGTTTAGCAGATTCTGTAAACAATTCATTTGCTCTTTGTTTGTCTTTTTTAACCCCATCTCCATATTCATACAATAAAGCAAGATTATATTGTGCTACTTTATTGTTTAATTCCGCAGCCTTTACGTATAATTCAAAGGCTTTCTTCGTATTATGGTTGGTTCCTTTTCCATTTTTATAACAATATCCTAATATGGTTATTCCATCTGAGTAATTCCCTTCTGCTGATTCTGTAAATAATTCGAAAGCCTTATTACGATTCCTTTTAACACCAATTCCATTCAAGTAAAGGTTACCAAGATGATATTTTGCAATAAAATTCCCCAAATTCGCAGCATTTTCATAACATTTTACCGCCTTTTCTAAATCTTTTGCTACACCTATTCCATTATAATAAAAATGTCCGAGTTTTGTTTGTCCCACCGTAAAATCTTTTTTAGCTGCTTTTTCGTAATATTCAAAAGCTGCAGTTTTATCTTTGTTAATGCCATAGCCACTTTCATAACATTTCCCAATATAAAGTTGTGCTAAAACATGATCTTTTATTTTCGTGAAAGACTTAAATGCCATCTCATGTTTTTTACTTGTTTCAATTCCAAAGAACTTAAAATATCCAAGTAAAAAAATCGCATTTGGATACGTTTGATTCCATTTAAGCCATTGATAAAATGAAATTTCTTGAAGTTTAAGAAAATCAAGAACTGGTTTCTCATCTAGTATAAAGGCTTTTCCTTTATTTAGTTCTCTAAAAATAAAATCAACTATTTCATCAACCTCATTGCGATAATCCCTTTCAGGTAAAGGTTCTTTAAGATCATTTGTATCCATCCCACCAATAATTTCACGAATTTGAGATGTTTCCCCGCGGAATGGATCATTAATTGCAGAATCGATAGTATAACTCGAATTGGGTGAAGATTCATAATAATCGACTGGTTCGTATACCGTTGTTGTATGTTCTGTTTTTGTCTTTAGTCGTTTTAATTCAGCAACTAATTTTTTCATAGTTGGACGTTTGTCTGGTTCAAAATCCCAACATTCTAAGAAATATATATCAAAATATCAAATCTTTACCCATTCAGGTAAATCATTCTTACAAGTTAAATAGTAAACTTACCAGTATAAACTTTTATATAATCTTCGGGCGTGTCGGGGATAATTTTCTCTCTGAAACCTTCCACAATACTAGTAATTAAATCAAAATCTTGTGCATCTTCATAATAAAATGGTGGTTTACCACTCGATATCTCCCATAATAGTATGCCAACACTATAGACATCACTCTTCTCATTTAGTATATATGGAAGTAATACGTTGTTTTCACTTATTCGCCTTTTAAACCTTTTCGGATCGATATAAGGAACTAAACCAAAAATTCTTGATGGATATTTTGACGCTTCTTCGATCCTTTTTGATAATCCAAAATCGGCCAGTTTAATACAATTTTTATGAACTAATATATTCTTGGAATGCTATTAAAAAATAGTAGATAGGCAAGGAATTCAATATTTATATAATATTTTTAAATCAAAGCATACATACAATATATTATAATATTACCAAATCGCGATGCACAATACCCTCATCATGTAAGCATGACACGGCACAAGCTAACTGATATGCCAAGTCATACTTGTTCTCCCAAGTAAGTTTAGAAAAATGATTTTTCAAATAGTTTCGAAGTGTGCCACCATCAGCATACTCCATTACTAATAAATATTCTTTTTGACTATCTAATAAAACAAGAATATACCATTAATTTCGACTCGCATCATAACAAAAGTCTAGAGAAATATTATTTTTTTTTTTTTTTGTACCTTTGATTAATGTAGTAATCCCATAAAAACGGATTATATTGTGATGATAATCAACTTCACATTGATTGTTAAGCTAATTAGATAAATATAAAAGTAAATAAATACAAAAATGATCAATCCTATATTAAACCGAACGAATTATCAAATATATAATTTACCTCTCGAACAAGTTCTTTAACAGTGACATTGTCAATGTTAAGAAAGGATTTTAAAGCGAAAGGTAATTCCGAGGTTTTGTAATTAGCACGGTAAACTTTTCCGAATCCTCCAGAACCAATTTCTTGAA